GGTCTTAAACTAGTTAAACCCAGGATGGCCTTCACCTTCCAAGCCTCCTGCTGGGTTTACACCCACCATATGTGGTGCTGAGGATCAAACCCAGGGCTTCATGAGCTAGGCAAGTAGCCCATTGACTGATCTATATCCTCAGCTCCTTAAATGGTTCTCTTAACCACCCAGGTTACCCATCCCTCTAATTGGGTGAGAAATTAAAGGAGCAAAGAGGACCTAGGAGTTGCCTGAAGACACAGTGTTCAGTCCCCTGTTCTTTCCTTAGACCAGAGTTGGCTTTGTTTGCAGCCGCTGAGGTCTGGGGATGGAGTGCAGCCTCAGCTGGCAAAGGGTCCTCACCATGCCCCACCTATGGGGCCACTCCTGGCTGTCATTCTTCCACCAAGGATGCAAAGCTCAGCCTGGACCAAGCACTACACGAGGGGTCAGGAAACTCAGGATCTTGACTGGGCACAGTGAGGTACACTTGTAATCTCAGCAATCGGGCAGAAGAGCCTGGAGGATTCTGAGTTCGCAGACAGCCAGGGCTACGTGGCAAGAACTTGTCTCATACGAAGGGGCTAGGTAGAGGCATAGAGCAGAAGTAGGTAGTCCCAGCAGGGCCCCTCTTAGCCCAGGCTATTCCTGTCATTTCTCTCTGGGTTGAGTTCACTGACAGAAAAGTAAAATAAAATAAAAAGACAGCCTTGAGTTCCAGCTACCAAAAAGGCTAAAGCAGAAGGATCACCTGAGCCCAGAGGTTCAAAGCCACCTTGGGCAACCTTGGGACCTGTTATCAAAGCAAAACAAACAAGTAGCAGAAACGCTGCAAAAGTAAGGAAGAGCATGGCGTGGCAGGGCAGGGAGTAGTCTATGGCTCTCCCACCATGGCATGGCTCTCTGCAGCGCATTCAGCATGGCGCTTAGGCTATCTAGGACTCAATGAGGCTGTATCGTGTAGATTTGGTTAAAAATTTTTCTTCCTTTTTTCTTCTCTCTCCTTCCTTCCCTCCCTCCCTCCCTCCCTCCTTCCTTCCTTCCTTCCTTTCTTCCACTGTAGTTGAATTTTCTTTTGGGCCACCAGCTAACAAATAACAACACAGAAGACTTATTAATTTGAAAGCTTGGCCTTAGCTTAGGCTCATTCCCAACTAGCTCTTATAACTTAAATTAACCTGCTTCTATTAATCTACTTTCTACCGTGTGTGTGTGTGTGTGTGTGTGTGTGTGTGTGTGTGTGTGTGTGTGTGTGTGCATTTAGTGTTTAACCTCTCTTTCATTCTGCATGTCCGATTTGCTAAGTCCGATGGGCATCTCTGCCTTTCTCCCTCCTCTTTCTGCCTGGAAGTCCCGCCTATTCTCTCCTGCCCAGCTATTGGCCATTCAGCTTTTTATTAGACCAATCAGATGCCTTAGACAGAGTCACATCTTTACAGTGTACAAAAAAGATTATGCCCCAACATTCCTTCTTCCCTTCCTTCTTTCCCTCCTTCCTTCCTTCCTTCTTCCCTTATAAGACAAGGTCTCACTATCTTCATTGTGTAGCCTTGGCTCCAGACTCAATATGTCAATATGTAGACAAGGCTGACCTTGAATTTAAAGAGGTCCACACCCATCAGCCTTTGCCTCCTGAGTACTGGAATCAAAAGTGTGCTATACCAAGCTGGACTGAGCAAGTAAGTTGATTTTATGATAGGAGCACACCCTGGGAATGAGAAGGTTAAGTAAAGAAATGCATGTGGAGGGTCCCAGTGTGCCTGGTTGTGAGTGCCCTGCACAAAGGACCCGTGAAGAGACCGCTGCTGTTGCTTCTCCCGGCACACTCAGTGACCCCACACTCTTACCCAATGTAGGGTGCAGGCATCAAAGACACAGATGTTGGTTTGAACAAGAGCCTAACTGGGTTGGGGAGAGGGTGGAAGACAGGAGGGTGAAAGCAGAGAACTGTATATAGACACCTGGAAGGATTAATATAGATATGCCTAGACTATAACAGAGTTGTGTTTGATAAAGAAACCACAAATTTAAAACACCATAAGATAAAGGGCTGGGAAGATATCAGTTGGAAAGGGACTTGCCCCACATGCATAAGGACCTGAGTTCAATTCCCCTAGAGCCTATATTAAGAAAGTAAAAGATTCCATACATGGTGGTATGTTTTTGTAATCCCAGCACTGAGGAGGCAGAGGCAAGTAGGCTCCCTGAGGCTCTATGGCCAGCCGGTCTAGTAGAATCTGCACACTCCCTGTCCAATGAGAGACTCTGTGTTGTGGAATATTATTTTTTTTAAAGATTTATTTGTTTATTTATTATGTATGCAGCATTCTGTCTTCATGTATCCCTGTGGGCCAGAAGAGGGCACCAGATCTCATTATAGATGGTTGTGAGCTATCATGTGGTTGCCGGGAATTGAACTCAGGGCCTACTGGAAGAGCAGTCAGTGCTCGTAACCTCTGAGCCATCTCTCCAGCCCAGGAATATTATTTTAAGTGCGTAAAGATGTGTTTCTGCTTTTTGTTAATGATGCAAAGACACGTTACATTTGTTTGGTTAAATAAAATTAACCTGGGGTCAGGAGGCTGAGTCAGCAATTAGCTGACAGGGAGTGGTAGGAAGGAACTAAGTGTATCGAGGGTCCTTGAGTGGAGGTTGAGCAGAAGTCCAACCCTTTTTTCGGGTTGATGCAAGAGAGAAGGTTAGCTATTTGCTATTCAGCCTCTCTCAGCTAGGAAGATTTCACCTGAGCCTTTGAATCCCAAGTCCTATAGAAGGATCGAGATTTAGACAAAGCTTCCTTTAGCTGCTGTGATAGAGCCAGTGCCTGAGGGAACAGAATCCTGCCTGGCTGCAGCCTGTGCAGCTGAACCACTGCTGGTAGCTAAGGAGTTGCAATTGCCGGTTGGCACAGCAGTTGCTTAAGGTACAGCCACTGAACTGAATGAAAAACAACACTGTCTCCCCTAAAATAAGATGGAAGGGCTGGAGTGATGGCTGTGAGTTGAGCACTTCCTGAGAACTCGGGTTCCACTCCCAGCACCCATGTCAGGTGGCTTCTTAAGCGTCTATAACCCAAGCTCCGGGCCATCCAACACAACTGGCCTCCATAGGTCCCTGCACTCACACACACATACCCCCACGCAGGTACACACACCTGCATGTATGTTACTAAATTCCTTCCCAGGGGTTAGATGGGAGCAATGTCTACCCCTTCTCCCAAAGTCTCAATGACAAATCAAGGCACAGTTCCGTGAAAATTCACTCTGGGGAACCAGTGAGTTTATTGGGCTTCCTTATAGAACATGGGTGGGGACAATTACAGGGCTATGGGTGCTCTTCCTCCAACTGGTGCCTGGCCAGCATCGCCCAGAAATAATATAAGCTTCCCTGTAGTCATACAGATGGAAGGAGGACTCCACACACACTCCAGGAGTCCCCAGCGGATATATACTCTAATCCCAGGCCTTGCCTTACATTTAGAAGTGGAAGGAGCAGCGGATACTGAGTTGAGGGTCTTCTGCCCTTCTCTACCCCTCTTTTGGGGAGTGCAAACAATCATCAGACACACCTGGGATGATCATTTACAAAGGGGGCACAGCTGAATTCCTCCAGATGACAGTTGCTTGACTTAGAGCACATTTAATTATAATAACACAATAATCAAAATCTTTTTGCTTTTTTTTTAAGACAGGGTTTCTCTGTATGGTCCTGTCTGTCTTGGAACTCACTCTATAGACCAGGCTGGCCTCAAATTCAGAGATCAGCCTGCCTCTACCTCCCAAGTGCTAGTATTAAAGGCTTATGCTACCACACCTGGCAAATAAAAATAAATCTTAAAAAATAAAAATAACAAGTGAAAAGAAATAGAAGAAAACGCCTAAGTTGCCCTCTGACCTTGACATAAGCAACACAGGAGCACATACATCTCAACACATGCACACCATACAATGAAAAACACATTATACATACACCACACCAAATGTACCAGCCATCCTAGCTTTGTGCTATGGCACACTAGGATGTGTTTATTGTTTCCTCCAGTGGGGCTGCCACTCGATTTGGCTGTCCAGTATCATGAGGGTGTGAGACCACCTCTCACCAGACCAGGAAAAGAGCAAACAGTTTCCAGCCAACATGATCACGTTTAACCACAGTGAAGGAGAAACACCTGAGTATCAGAGCCTACTAAAATGGTTATATTCCATGTACCACCCTTCTTCCCACAACACCTGTAGTAGCTCTGCTGGGGGTCAAGGGCTGGCAAACAAATCTTCGAATGATAAATATTCCTTGTTTGATGTGTTTGATGTTCAGTAATAATGAGCTTGTACACAGAGTGTGTCACCTACACCTGGCTCAGTTGTGTCTTCTACACAGACCCACAACTCCACAGTCACGCTCAACCATCCTGAGCATTCACTCATTCAGCAAGCATTACCTGGGTGACTGTCAACCCACTGATTCATGCCTTGGAAAGAGGTAAAATATTATTTAGGAACTAGACAGGCGCAGACAATGTAACTTAATGAGGCTGGACGCCTGCGTCCTAAGCACCTGTCCTCTGATGTTGAGAGAACTACACTTGTGTGAGCTCCTTGATTAATTAATGAGGGACATCTAATCTTCCAGATTTCAATTTGCAGTTTTGTTAAAAGTCTTTCTGTCTTGCAGGGGTGTGGGAGTAGAGAGGTGCCTTAGTCCTGCCGCACCTAGATGGGACAGACTTAGTAGACTTCTAGGGGAGGCCTTACCCTCTCCGTGGAGCAGATGGGAGGGGGGAGCGGGAGGAGAGGAGGGAGGGGGAAGTGGGATTGGAATGTAAAAATAAATTAATTAAAAAGAAAAAAAAACAAAAAGCAAAGTCTTTCAGTCTTTACAAACCAGGACCGGCTTCCCTGATTAGGCTAACTCCTTTGCCTGTTAAAAGCACTCTGTGTCTTTAAAATGGGGGCGGCCTCCTGTCAAAGGGGCCCCAAAACATGGGCTGAAGGCGAGTGGAGTCCCACCCACTTTCTGTGACGTCCCGCGTCCCGGCTTCTGATTGCAGGCTTCCAACGTCAATCGCGGGGAGTGCGTCTTGCTGGAACACAGTGGAGGTCTGCGCTCCGGTCTGAGGGGCGGTCGGGTGTATTCTGCGCTCGCCCCACACCCGCGAGGCCCGCGCCGCCCGACCCAACGGCGGAGCCGCCCAGCGCCTCCTGTGGCACCCGCTCCCTTCTCGCTGGAGCGGGACGTGGCCCGACGGCTCCGGTCACTATGGTCAGTGGTCGCGGGACGGGGAGGGGGCGCCGCCAGGGCTCGTGTGCGTGCGCGCGGTCGGGCGCGAGGCTCTGCCCTTTCCATCCTCGGGATGCTGAGCTCCCGGGGTGTGCCTCGCTGTCCCTTTGGGAACCTGCAACCGGGAGATCCAACCCAGACCGAGCCCTGCTGCCTCGTGTCCACTCCAGGTGACCCCCAGGCGCCTCTTCGAAGTCCCGAGGCATGTGCCTGGCCGGGGCGGGATGGGGCGCCTCCGGGTTATGGTCTCCACTCTTTGTTTAGTACTCCTGCGGACAGCTTGCAGTCCACCCATCGCGAACTTAGCTACTACAGACCGACTCTGCCCCAACAAGTCAACCCCAGGGACAACATATCTGACCACCCGGGCAAGTCTTAGGGCCACTTGGACTTAAGCTCCGTTTCCTAATGGCAACAGGTCTGTGGAGTCAGGACAGGAAGAGGCCGGCCCCAAAGTATGAAGAATGAGTTAGGAGTCCAGGCAAAAACGATCTAGAAGAACCTCCCATCTGAGCAGAGTAGGCCCAGGAGACTCTGGGCTGGTCAAACTTGGTCAAACCCCGGGCTTGAGCAGGTATGGGGAAAATGAGGTCAGGCAGGGAGAAAGCTGGTAGGGATTGTGATGGCGAGACAGCTGGGACTTGACCCCAAGCCTCTGGTCCGGTGTTCTGTGTTGCATCAGCCCACACCCAGGTTGCCATGGGGTCAGGTCTCCAACAGGGGATTGAGTATGTTAGCTGCCCTATACTTTTCAACCTCCAGCAAAGGACTCTAAGGAATCTGACTCTATTATTAGTGCTGCAGGTCAGCTTGGGCTCGCATAGCTCTGGGCTCAAGCTCTCACACCTGCTTGTTTTTGTTTTGTTTAGTGATGCTGGGTTTTGAATCCAGGGCTTCATGCATGTTAAAATAAGGCTAGAAGACGGGCGGTGGTGGCCCACGCCTTTAATCCCAGCACTCGGGAGGCAGAGGCAGGCGGGTCTCTGTGAGTTCGAGGCTGGGCTGGACCGACAGCCTCCAAAACAATACAGAGAAACCCTGTCTCGTAAAAACCAAAAAAAAAAAAAAAAAAAAAAAAAAAAAAAGGCTGGACTTAGGAACTACACCCCCAGTCTCTCACTTCCAGTCTGAAGTGTCCCAATGGCTGCTCTGAGGACCCTGTTTTGTTTTGTGTGTGTGTTTGGGGAGGGAGCTGGTACTCAATTAGGACCTTTGGAATCCAGAAGATGGGTAGTGTGGTCCCTGGTTCTTTGGGCTTGCCCTTCACCCCACATTTGGGTCACTATTTTGGGTTGCTGCAGGGCTAGGGTCTGAGTCAAACCTGTGCCGAGGGTCGATGGACAGCCAGGCATCTTCCAAACCCTCTTCCTACTGGGGTGTGCCCAGAAACGGGGGAGGGAAACTACAAGTTCCAGTTTCCTGTTTGCTCTTGGTACCCAGGTGATAGCCTGCTCTGCTGCTCCTGAAAAGTGGTCCGGGCATTTCTGCATCACCTGCCAGGGAATAGAGCTATTGAAATGATAGTTTTAGCCATGCAGAAGCTGGAGGCTGGTAGCCGACAGTACACCAGGGCAGTAGGGGCTGGGACTTCAACTTCTCTCCCTTACTGTGTAACTGGATCTGCCCTGAACCCAGGAGACCAGCAGCTGGGACCCAGCAACTCCCCCCCCCCCCCCGGGAGTTTAGGTGCCTTGGAGAGATAATAGTCAAGAACCTTCAAACAGGACATTTGTCTGGGAGTCACAGGGGCAGAGCTAGTGACTGTTTACATGGCATTTTTATTATACACCTATTTGTGTCGGGCACCTTGCTACATCCTGGGACCCATGGTTGATTTATATTAATGTTGTTAAATGTTAGTTGAGGCTGCCAGGTGTGGGGCTAGAAGAAGAGACTCTGTCTTTGGAATGACAGCATTTCCTCTATTTCCATGTAAAAGTCAAGGGGCTGAGCTTGAAGGTGGGTCCCAGACAGAAGGCACAAAGTCCTCGGTAGTCAGGGCTGCAAATAACAAGCGATACGTCACTCTCACTACAAGTGCTTTTGCTCTTGGGGGTTGAGAGTGAGTGTTGGATATAAGCATAACCACAGGGTCCTATCGCTTTCTTCTGTCGGGCATTCAACAGAATGGGGCAGTGGTAAGAAACACATGATACCTGCCTTGTCCTGGAGTTTATGTCTGTGGGCTAGGTCTTAGCCGATGAGTTACTGACATGACCTGAGCGTCTAACAGAGACCTTGGGAGCATGGCACGTTCCACTGGTGGGGAAGCCAGGCCCTGGAGGCTGTAGGGAAGTATTCCGAAGGATTGGGGAAAGAGTACCTTGCAGGTATCAGGATGATAGACTTACAGGCCTTGGGACATGGTCAAAAGTGGGCTTTATGGGAAGAGTAAGCAGCTGATTTAGATGCAGGGAGACTAGAGGAGCCCAGAGTAGTAAGTCTGGAAAATTGGACGGGATCTGAGTGTTCTGTACAGAGCTTTGCATGCTGGGCAGCAGAGTTTTGGTTGTGTTCACATGAGGGAACTGTAACATTTTTGATGAATATGAAACGGTTTCTGGCTCTCTCTCTCTGATGCTGGGTCGTGGGTGGCCAGCTGGAGTGAGAGGCAGGCTTGTTCATTCCGTGTGCCCACCAGGTTACTGCGGCACAGCTCTCCAGCAGGATAGAGCCATAGGCACGGGACTTGTTTGCTGGTGAGTCTGGAGGCTGAAGTCCCCGCTGACGGTGCAGGCAAGGGCACACACCCTCTGAAGGTGTCTGGGAATGTTCTATCCCTGGCTTCCTCAAACTTCCAGGAGTGGCTCTGACTGGTGACACTGGAACCCATCTGCAGATGGCTCTCCCCTATACATGCGTTTGCACTCCTCTTTTAATAAGGAAATCTGTCATGGGACTGGTGACCCACCCTGCTCCATTGTGACCTCATCCTAACTAATTATATCAGCCGTGACCAGATTCCAAAGTAAAATTGCATTCTGAGGCCTGGAGCCAGGGCTTCAACAATCCCTCTTGCAGCACCCCGGGATATGTCTTTAGAACACATTCCAGCATTCCAGGAAGTGGAGATCCAGCCGTGACAGATGATGAGTCCCTACCTTTGTGGGGCTGGCATTGGATGGGGGGAGGCGTCTCTGCAGAGGTGGCATCTCCCAAGTCCTCTAAAGAGGCAGAGAGTCACCCAGGAAGAAGCATGTGTCCTGTTGGAGGGCGGGGCAGCCACTGTGGCTGGAGACCCTTGGTGTACAAGGGCCAGATGGGAGGTTGACAAAGATTGAGCAGACAAGCCAGTGGAGGGCTTGAAGAGGTTTCACACTGCCACAACAATGTCATAGACTGGGTGATTTATCATGGCCGGACATTTATTGGCTTCTGCTTCTGCAGGTGGCGGGGTTAGGCCATCATCAAGGCACTGGCCTCTGGTGAGGGCCCACACATCTTCTTGCTGTGTCACAACATGGTAGGGAGAATGCCCCTCCCTGTGGTACTAATCCTTTTATGACAGGGGAGTCCCCAGACTTAGTGACCTCTGGAAAACTGTCACATTGGCAGTTTAATTGCAGCTTGGTTTAGAGGGGACATTCAAACAGTAGCTTTCTCCCCCCTCCCTCATCTCCTGTTCTCTTCACATACAAAATGCATTCATTCTATCCTGGCAGTCCCCAGAGTCTTCCCTTATTACAGCGCAATCAAGTGTCCAGAGGCCAGGGCCATTACAGGCGAGCCAGGCAGAGGTGAGACCCAGGCCAGGGTCCTGACACATCCTGCCGGCTGAGGGCCTGTCACCCAAGTGTCATGGGGGGCAGGCCTGAGACAGACATTCTCATTCCCAGAGTGGGGAGTCGGCCTGAAGTAAGGCAGAAGTCCTCCTATGTGAGTCCAGCACCCAAGTCAGCAAACCGAGTTAGGTCCTCTGCTTCCAGAACAGTCTTTGGCTCTGTGCTGCCTCCGTGCCACTTGGGTGGCTCTTGGAACTGCCCACCCCAGGGATTCACTGCGCTCAATGTAGGCAACAGCTCATGACAGCCATACTACATCCGCATGGCCTTCTCTGCTGTGGGCATCACCCTAGTAGGGACTCTGCCTGGTCGCTCTGGGCCCCCGCACTGTGCACTGCACCCCAAGCTCTGACATTCTGCAGGCCTCAGGGCCAGCCGTGAGGACTCTGCCAAGGCCACGGCTTTGGCCACTAGAGTTGCAGCCCTCCCTGTGCCCTGCCACAGCTGGCCATACAGGAGATGTGCCGTCCTGATGGAAACGTGCCCTCTAGGAATAGCCCGCCTCCAAGATCTCTGCTGTGTTTGGGGGGCCTTCTACCTGCTGTCTCCCCGAGTGGCACTTAGCTCCCTTCTTTCCTAATTTCTTCAGCGAGTGGCCAGCTGCTGGGCCACACCTTTGGTATGCGGATGACATTTCTCCCTTTTGCATGGTCAGCTGTGAGTTTTCCAAGACGTCCATCCTCTTCCTTATACTCCCATCTTTACAGCATTCCTCTCCTCTCGCATTTTAGTAGATGGCGTTACAAGAAGCCACACCACAGCCCCAATGACGCCGCTTGAGGTCCCGCCATCCCAGGTGTCAGAACTCGGGCATCTGTCTGTGCTGGCCCGTCCTTGGGGTTCTGACAGGATACACCCTCAGCTGCAGCCACTAAGAACACCACCTGTGCATATTTGTTTCCTTTTAAAATTGCCCTGCCCTCTCCCATCCTTCTCTCTCTCTCTCCCCTCTATTGTTGCTCCTCGTTCCTCTCTCTTACTGCTCCTGTCTCAGAGGCCAGTCTCCCCCCCCTTCTCTTTCCACTTTTTATGATCCCTTTCCCTAGCAAAACAAGCAAAAAAAAAAAAAAAAAACCCTCTGCTTGCACCCTGTTGCATGTCGTCTTTCTCCTGTGTGCCGCTCTTCTTAAATTACAACACCGGGTCCTTCCTGGTGTTGTAGTTCATTTTCTTAAGTTCTGTTTTCCCATTTAGCCCTGGAGCAAGGACACCCTGCAGCCAAGTTCTTTGCCACTGGAGGACGCGGCCCTTCCTTCCAGCAGTCTCCAGTACTTCATCCCTCACTGCCATCCGAGGCTACATCCTCACGGTCTTTTCTGTGCCGGTTCCTGCCGGCGTTCTCACACAAAGTCCTCGAAGACTCTTGCTTTCCCTTCCCTCTGCTTTGTCTTGCACAAACCGAATCGCCCTCCGTGGTCTGTTCCCAGCTTCAACCGGCTTCTCCAGCATTCACCTGGGAAGAGTCCCAGCAGTGCCCACTCCCCTTCATGCCTTCAGGTATTTGTCATGGCAGCTCGTGCTCCTGGTTCCTGGCGATGCCTTAGCCTGGTTGTGTTGCTGTAGTGGGTTATCACTGGGCCGTTTATAGCAAACAGCCTTATCAGGCTCACAGCTTGAGAGGCTGGGATGTCCTAAGATGAGGTCCCAGTCTCTGGCCAGGAGCTTCTTGCTTTATTTCCACCATGGTTTGGCCGAAAGGGGCTAGAGAAACTGAGTCAACACTGGATACGATCCATGGCTGGCGTTAGTCCAGTCCCTGAAGGTAGACACTGCCTTTTGATACTGTGACATTGGCAGTTACACTGAGCAGTGTTGGGGGAACAAGCATCAAGCCTAGCAGAGAATACTGAGGGAAGGCCCTGCCTGTTAAGCAACCTGCACTGTCTGCTTGTGGACAACGTGGGGCCAATTAGGGGTGGAGGCCTGGAGGTCCCCGGGTAGAGTGCATTGCATCATATCCTTGTGGGAGATGGAGAGGGCTCTTGGGCCAGACCCAGGAACAGGTAGAGCAGGGTGGGGACAGTGGAGGAGGGCTCCTGGATTTGGGGGTATATTCTTGGGGTGAGGTGTAACCTAGGGGCTCGAGAAGCCTGGGGGGACAAATGAGGCAACAGAGTAATTAAGGGGTAAATGAATTCAAAGAGCCCCATAGATGTCTGAGAGGTTGCCAGTGGTTTGACGCTGGAGTCCTAGGGAAAGGTGAGGCTGGAACTGAGATCGGGTGGGTGGCTGCTAAAATATGTTACGTAAGTTCATGCTATCTGAGGGAGGCAGGGAGCAGCTTCAGGAGCTCTGAAAACAGCCAGCAACTAAGATAAGGGGCTGGGGCCCCACAGAGATGGGTCATGTAGTTAGCTGAGGAATTGTCATATCCTGTTCCCTGGCACCTATGGACGTATTACCCTGGCCAGAGAGGTTCTGAAGTGTGTCTCAGTTAAGGGGCTGAAGTGAGACATCACCCTTAGTTAGTAAGGTGCAGTGAGGTCACCACCAGGGTCCTTACAAGAGTGAGGAAGTGCAGGCCCCAGTAAGGGGACCATGGGAAGGAAGATGAGAGGAAAGAGAGCCATTCACTGTGGAAGTCAGACACCTTTAACGTGTGTGTGTGTGTGTGTGTGTGTGTGTGTGTGTGTGTGTGTGTATACATGCCACGGAGTGTGTTGGGGGTCAGAGGGCAACCTGCAGAGTCACCACACGGGTTCCAAGGATCAAACTCAGATAGTGCCCCTACCCGCTGACCCATGTCCCCAACCCCAGGCAGCCTTCCTGAACTCAGGGAAACAGCCTGCAGAGCAAGCAGCAGAGTCCACAAAACCCCTGCAACCCAAAATCACCGCCTGTCCCCAGCTCAGCTTTAGATGGAGGAGGCTGAACTTCTCAGTGCCAACTGCAAAACAGGAAAGTGGTCATGTTCTGTTACACCGTGATTGTCCTCGGGTGTTAGAGCAGGAACGCGTCCTCCAGGGAGACAGGTGTGTCCCCGTCATGTCCTGTCCCGTGTCCCGCCCCCCCCCGTTTCAGTGATCTTTGGCTTAACTCACCTCATCAAAAATGGGCTTGTGGACATTCCACAGGTGTGTCCATCCATACATATGTGTGTGTGTGTTTGTATATGTATAGATACATATGCATATAATATATACTCATCTATAGAGATAAAATGAGAGACTTTTTTTTAGGTATATGTATGTGATGTATGCCTGTGCATGTGTTGGCATATTGCGCCTGTGTACATGTATATGGAGGCCAGAGATTGACATCAGACACCTTCCTTTATTAATTTTTTAACATGTGCACATGTGTGTAGTGTGCATGTGAACCTGCTTCATACGTGTGAGCACATGTGCACATGGATTGGTATGCACATATGTAGTACATACAGATGCTGGACGTTGACGCTGGGTGGTTTCCTCAGTCACCATGTATTTAGGGAAGATCTCTTCCTGAGCCTGGAGTTTGTCAATTCCAGGTAGTCTAGCTAGTCAGTTTGTTCCTGAGTGCTGAGATTACAGGTAGTTGCCACACTGCCCAAATCTTAAGTGGGTTCTGGGGATGGGACTCCACTCCTCACTCTTGTGTAGCAAGCACTTAGTTACTGAGCCCTCTCCCCGGCCCCTCTAGTTTTTTGTTTGGTTGTTGTTGGGTTTTTTTTTTTTTTTTTTTTTTTTTGGTTTTTCGAGACAGGGTTTCTCTGTGACTTTGGAGACTGTTCTGGAACTAGCTCTTGTAGACCAGGCTGGTCTGAACCCACAGAGATCCGCCTGCCTCTGCCTCCTGAGTTTTCGAGACCGGGTCTCCTCATTGAACCTGGAGCTCACTGATTAGATATAGTGGCGAGTCACCAAACTCTGGAGATCTGAGTGTCTCTAAATGCCCCTTCCCTTGCTGAGGTCACAGGGGCGTGGCTTTTTACATGGGAGCTGGGTCACAGCACTCAGGCCCTTATGCTTAAGCAGTAAGTTCACTGCCCACTCAGCCACCGTCCCAGCCCCCAGGTACACTTATAGTGTCATTGGGACTCCAGGTCAGCAGGTAGGACCAGGGATCAAGCCCTGGTGGCCTCTGGCAAAGACTTGAGCCTTCCGGAGGAGAGGTTGGGCTCTGAACCTGCTGTTGTCAGGTGAGGCTGGATTTTCCTGCTCTTCTGGGTGTCTTGAGGTCAGGCTGTGTGGTGAGTGATGGCTTGGGGGCCTGGTTGGTGAGTCAGCCCTGCCCAAACTGCCTGCCTAGGGGAAGATGACAGCCTGCTGGGCCTGGATGTGTGCATGCTCAGATGTACTGATAGGATGGCTGGTGGGTAGCTGGGGCTTGTAGGCAGAGGAGTGCGCTGAGGCCTGGCTGTGGAGCTGCTCAGTAGCCTCACCTCACCGCTGGAACTGTTGGCAAGTGTGGGCGATGCCTGCCTAGCTAATTAATTAGCATCTATTTGCAAACCAGCAATTAAAGAGCCAGTGTCTTGCCTGGTTAGGTCTGACAGGACAGTCCAGCGTGCCCTGTCTGTTTCCCTTTTCACCATAACAACCTGGAATTCTTCAGCCAGGGTTTAAAAGCAAACACCGGTTAAAGTCAGCCAAGGTCAAAAACTGAGCATTGTTCCAGATTCCTGGACTAGTAAACCGATACTGCCCTTAGGATCTTCCTGGAGTTGAGGCTTGTCTCACCCAGAATGTTGGTGGGTTTGGGTGGAGACTTGGGTCATTCTGGAGGTGTTTTAGGGACTTGAAATGCCAGGGTAGAAACCTGCTTGTCACTAGGGTGCCCATGTATACACTTGGGAGCCTAGAAGTCAACCAACCTGCCTTCCTTCCTCCCTCTCTCCCTCCCTCCCTCCCTCCCTCCCTCCTTCCCTCCCTCCTTCCCCTAGACAGTCTCACAGTCTATGCTAGCTTCAATTTCACCATCCCCTGCCTCAGCCTCTTGGACGCTAGGATTACAGGCATGTGCCACCATATCCAGCTATGGCTGGTTTTTAAATAGTATTGAGTAAAGTTAAAAATTATCTCATAGTATCTGTAGTATAATATGTATATAAATGTTTTTCTAAATCTATTAAAATAGAAAAATATCTCATCTCTAGTCTGATTCACTAAGACAGAAAGTAGAGACATGGTTTCCAAAGATGGGGGTGGGGGGGGAGTGGGGAATACTTAAGGCTACAGAACTGTGTACATAAAAATGGCTAAAATGGTATGTTTCACATTATGTACATTTTTGCCACCATACTCAGTGTTATAGTTACACACATAGTGTCAACAAAGTTGGCTTGGCCTAAGGTTTTTAAAACTTGTGAATGAAACGGAGCCATCTCAAGCTGCAAGCCAGAGGTGTGTGGATCTTTGAGAGAGACTAGGAACTGGAAAGGGCACGAGGAAGAAGCTGGTATCTTTTTGGCACAGGCAGAAGACTCGAAGGAGGTGGCGTGGAGGCTGACTCACCCCTGCAGTGGTGGGCTTTGCTTTCTTGTGTGCAGAGCTGGGACGAACCCAGGGCCTTGCACGTGTGCCAGGCAAATTCTCCACTGTTGAGCCACACCCCCAGCCTGCTGACTCCTTTTAATGGCTGCGCATAGTGTCACTTAGGAACTGTTCCTTGATACCCTGCAGTATGTATCCCAGACTGGCAAGGCTCTTGGAGACACTGAACTCCTACAGGATCTCTGGGGGGCTGCATAGCCTCTGGGTAAGATGGCCCAATGCTGCCCTGGACAGGACATTCGTTTGTGGTCTGGCAGAGGAGTCCTTTGGGCTCTGGAGTCTGGGCTGTGGTCTGGCACTCTGGTGTGTTTGAACTTCACACTGCGCTGCATTAATCACATCCTAGCTCCAACCACCTGACCTTAATGGTCACCTCACAAGTGTGTTGTAATAACTAAGATAATGAGGATATACCAGCCTCTGTTCAGTGCTCGGCACATAGCAGGTGCCCAGTAATGGCACCTGTCACCGTTTCACACATCGTAGGGCTGAGGGTAGCAGTGGATCCTCAAACCATCCTCATGTTAGCTTTCAACCTCTGGTCACAGGATGGCTGCTGTAAAGCAGCCATTGCGTCAGCATCTCTGCTCTTTTTATCCCACACCAAACCTTTCCCAGAAGCTCCAGTAAACTTTTATGGGCTGAGGACATGCAAGTTTGGGCCCTCTAGCTAATCAGATTGTCCCAAGGATGCCCTGTACCAACCTCCTGATAGCTGGGATTACGGGTTGCCCATTTAGCCCGAATGTGTATACTGGGGACCTGAACTCTGGACCTCGTACTACCAAGGAAAGTAGTTTATCTACTGAGCCATATCACCAGCTACAGAACCTTATTATTAGATGGAAACTCTTTATGTGGGTCAAACAACACTTTAAAGAACAATCTGTGTGTGTGTGTGTGTGTGTGTGTGTGTATATGTGTGCGCGCGCCCATGGGCACTCCAGTGTGTATGCACACACATGCACATACCACTGGCACAAGTCAGAGGACAACTTGTCTCCTCAACCATGTGAGATCCTGGGGTCAGTCTCAGGTGGTCAGCAATCTGAGCCATCTGCCCAGCCCAGCCTTTCTATTTCACTCTGCAGACAGCAGTGTTCCCGGGGGTCGGCTGGTGGCAACAGCGCTTGGCCCTTGGCTGAGCCCCGCCCCCTGAGCACTCTCACCCCAGGCCTGGTGAAAAGGCACGGGCGGGGAACTAACTGCCCTCCTAGATCGGTGGCATCCTCGGCAGTGTCTCTACCCTGCTTGCTGAATCCTTCCAGGGCTTGGAGACCCTGGTTCCCCACAGGCACATGCTCAGGCTTGGTTCTGGCCTTGGCCAGAGCTGGGCAAAACCAGTAGGCGGTGTGCAAAGATGTTCCCCTTGCCCCAGCCCTCGTGTAAACTCAGGTCATACACCTTCCAGTGCCACATGGGGTCACCTCACAGCTAACCCTTACCCTGTAGGTTTACTGGATTTTGTGTAGCGATGGGGTCACCTCACAGCTAACCTTTACCCTGTAGGTTTACTGGATTTCTTGTAGCGATGGGAATACCCCTTTATTGGGAGCATGTGATGCCAGACTTGACACAGGATGCATGTTCAGGAATTGGGGAGGGGGGAATAAAGGGAAGAATGAATAAGTGAATGAATGAATGAATGAGGTGGAAACATACTCCAGCATATTAAGTCTGAGGTATTAAAATTATAAGGTCAGTTCTTTATAACCAGGATACTTGATGACAGTGCCAGTCCTGCTTGTCCCTACCCTGGGACCAGGACAATCCAGGCAGGCCCCTAGGATGCTGGTCACATGCTCACACATCCCTTCCTAGTGGAGGGGAACATGTTCTGGGCCGTGTAACTGGTTGTTTGGAGACTATCAGTTCCAAGAGCCCCATGGTGTTTTTGAGGCCGGCTTATTGTTTCTTCTTTCTCTTTCAGAGTGAAACATCTTTCAACCTAATATCAGAAAAATGTGACATCCTATCCATTCTTCGGGACCATCCGGAAAACAGGATTTACCAGAGGAAAATTCAGGTGGGGCGGAGGGCAGACAGACCATGAGCCTAAACAGAAGGGGTGGAGGTTGGGAGTAAAGGAGGGGGCAGCTTATGGAAGGCATGGAGCTCAGTCCAGGTTCCTGGGCAAACTGAAACACCTGTAGACCACTGGGGCATTGGGTATTTACCTCAGAAAGAGATCCTTTCCCTATGGGAAACCACACATTTTAAAGCTAAGCACTGTACTAAGTGCTGGACTGACTTGCTTGAGTCTTTTTTTATGATTCTGTGTGGCAAATATTTGTTATCCCCACTTGACAATGGAGGCCACATAGCTTCTGAACTGCCGAGCTGGGTCTGATCTCATCACTGTTATACTAGGGACCTCTCAGGACAGGGCCATCGCTGAGAAGCTGCAGGGTCACTCCCAGGGACACAGAGGATGAAGAAGCGAGATCCCCAGTCTGTGGTGCACATGGCAGATGGCTAGGTCTTGGATGACGCTGCTCTGCAGTCTTGTGGACCCCTCCTGCAGACCCCGCAGACACAGCACAGTGCCAGGGCCATTTCTTCCTATGAGAGCCTCCTGAGGCAGGAGGAAGTGGGCAGCTCAGGGTGACCCTGGTCTCCTGAGGTCTGCATGTGACCACAGGAAGCACATCCAGCAGGACTCTGGGTTGAGGACAAGTCAACTCTGTGTTCACTTAGCCTCCCAGAAGCTAAGGGGGACACTGTCCCCGACCAGCCTCTTCAGGTGACCCAGAGAAGCCCTATGCCTTCTTGTTGCTGGGGCTTTGCAGTCCTTTGAAAACCAGACTACCTGCAAAACCCTGACTACTGTTCTACAAGACAGAGGCGCTCTAGGCCACTTCAGAGGGATGCTGGGAGCAGGACTGAAAGGGTGGGTGGCATGCCACTCCTGACAAGGTTGAGAAACATTTACAGCACTTCTGGTGCTGTTGAGTGCTCTGCAGTCTCCCTGCCACACACATACCACATTCAGCTGCCAGCTTCCTCCAGGAAGCCTTCCCGATTGTCGGGAGTCTGGAGTCCATGTCTCTAACCCAGCTCATGGTCTCATTTTGCCACCTTCCCTGACTGAGGGCTGCCCAGTGCCAGGGGGCTGACTGACGCTGTGTGTCTCACATTCCAGTCTGTGTCTGTGTATTGGATGAGGGTGGGGGCGCTGAAGGGAGGGAGCTACGGCCAGGCCAGTGGCTGGCACACACCACTGCCGCCACCGCTGAGGTTCACGCGTCCTCTTCTCCCCTTAGGAACTCAGCAAAAGATTTACCTCAATCCGAAAGACCAAAGGGGATGGGAACTGTTTCTACAGGGCCTTGGGCTATTCCTACCTGGAGTCTTTGCTGGGCAAGAGCCGAGAGATCCTCAAGTGAGTGGGGCCTGTGTAGACACACTTCTGTTTCTCTGGGCTGCATCTGCCCTGGACCAGGGTGTGTGGGGGGAGGGGGGTGGCACCGAGAGCTGCCTGGTAGAGGCAGAGCATGCCAGGAAACCTAGCTGGCCACTGTCATAGTGTTGATGGCAGCCCAAAGGCTGAGGGAAGGGGTCAATAGCTTGTCTGGTATTTCCCTCAGCACTGCCTGAAGGCATGGCTCACCAACACTGGGTAGCCACTTGGTATTTACTGTAAAAAAAAGATAAGAGGAGGTGTGGAGGTACACATACAGTAAGATGGTGTAACAGGAGGAGGAGGGAGGAAAGAGAAAGGAAAAAGAAAGAAGGAAAAAAAGACAAAAGGAAGAAGCATGTTCCTGCTGGCCTCGGTTGTGTGTGCGAGTGTGTGTGTGAGAGAGAGAGGAGAGAGAGGAGAGCGAGCATGTGAGCAGGGCACACAGCCTTTCCTTCCACTGCATTGATGGGCAGCTGCTTTTACCAAGCCATTTGGCCGGCCCTTTATCCTGATAGTGAGTGCAGCCCAGTGCCAGGCTGGTCCTGAAGTTAATGAAGAGCTGCTTTACACGGTGGTCTGGGCAGACTCCTCACCACGCCCACTAGGGCCCTGTGGCAGGAGGGGGCTATGCTCTATGCATCAGAGTGGGAGCAGAAGCCTTGGGGCTGGGCTTGGGTCAGGGAGGCCTGACCTGACTGGTGCAAGCTGTTGTGAGGACTGGTTTCTAGCTACTCCACATAACAACCAGAACTGAGATCTGAGGGACAGAAAGAAATGCACTCTGGGATCCATGGCGTTCTCACCTCACCTCACGTAATACTCCCCAGCCACTTAGAAGCAGCGAGTACTAAACAGGACACTGAGCTTTGAGTGGTTTTATTTTTTAGTTTTAAAATTAGATTTATTTATTTTATTGGGTGTTTTGCCTGCAGGCATGTATTGTGTCCCACGTGTCCTCAGTGCCAGAAGGGGGCATTTGCTCTCCTGGATCTGGCGTTATGGACGGTTGTGAATTTGTGCTGGGAATCAAACCAGGATCCTCTGCAAAAATATGTTCTTAATACGGAGTCCGCTCCCCAGCCCCATTCTTGGTTTTCAGTACGCTTTATTTCTGTGTACCCTTACACCATTTGGATTTTAGTAAGGGATGCTAATTCTTTAAGTACCAGGCCATTAGCTTAAGGGAGGGGGGGAAAATGCAAAGAGCTGGACATAACCAGAGCAGATAATGAGAAGTGCAGCCACAGGGACAGGAGCCTTTGAAAGGGAATTACCATGTCCAGGGAGTAGGCCGTGACTGCCTCAGTTTCTTCATCTGAGAAATGGAGTCATCTACAGCAAGGAGGGCAGCAGGTCATCATGGCTACATGTGGAGTGCTTTGAAATGTCACGAGGCTGGTATGGACTGGACAGTTGCCGGTCACAGCAACACCAAGTAAGTGTTCCCCCTGCGACCGTCAGGTAAACATCAGGTCTCCTCCCCTCTAGGTTCAAAGAGCGTGTGCTACAGACCCCAAATGACCTTCTGGCTGCCGGCTTTGAGGAACACAAGTTCAGAAACTTCTTTAATGCTGTGAGTTCACCTGAGCCACACTGGCCTTCCACAAGGGCAGAGCAGACAGGAGCAGGCAGGATGGAGGTCTTCAGTCCACCCAGAGCTGTGCAGTTTTGTTCTTAGTCCTCCTACCTGGGGCTGGAGCACGGCCATGTCCTGCTTGTTGGGGACATGTGGGTGGAGGGGACCTCGGTCTGGAGGACTGTCAGCGTCGTCCTGCCATTCCGAGCGCATGTATGGTGGAGGAGACTTGATGCTGGGCCCCTAGATGTGCCTCTGCGCTCCAACACTACGGCTTGCAATCTCAGAATGAGCTCTGAGGGGGCCGTGGGGCGGGGGACAGGTGCTTGCTGGGGTCTGTTCTGATGGTGGCAGCGTGAAGTTTTACAGTGTGGTAGAGCTGGTGGAGAAGGACGGCTCGGTGTCCAGCCTGCTGAAAGTGTTCAATGACCAGAGCTGCTCGGACCGGATCGTGCAGTTCTTGCGCCTGCTCACATCAGCCTTCATTAGGAACCGAGCTGACTTCTTCCGGCATTTCATTGACGAGGAGATGGACATCAAAGACTTCTGCACTCACGTATGTCCCTAGGGTCGTAGCCCCAGCCTGGGCTTGGCTTTGCCTGTCTCTTACACATGCCAGGACCCTGCAATGTCAACTAGCAAGGTTTGCACCTGGAGGCATCCTCCATGAGTGGCCTGAGCGCCAAGGCTTGAGCAAGCAATTGCATTCCCATGGGAATCTCCTATCTGGAATCTCAGGACTTGGGACTGCTCTGCTGGTAAGCAGCAGCAGAGTGGCAGCTCCTGTCACATTAACCCTAAGATGGGCTTTTGTTTAGAAGGAGAGGCCCACATGTAAACAAGTGGACAGTTATAGCTATTTGGGTTTTTTTAATTAGGAGGTACTGGGCCCTAAGTTGGACGGCACTACCAATAGGCACAAGAGCAGCTGGCCTCTCTGAGGTACCTGCCACCATCTCTGCCTCCCTGTTGTGTCTGCAGCATTAGGACTCACCCACTAATACTTGGAAGCCTTTGAGGGCAAGGTCCTTTTCGTTCTGAGTTCTGCTGCTAGCCTGAAAGGTTCCTCCCCTTTTGCACATTCCTTAAAGGGTCTGGACTAAAAATGGTTCAGGTTCATTTTCTGCAAGCCCTGTAGTCTCTGGCTGTGTTGCTTCCATGACAGGTGGGTATCAGCACTTGGGCTCACGTGTGCTTGGGAAGAACCTCCCCCCCCCCCAGCACAGGTGACCATGATCCTGAGGGCCAAGGGCTTCACTCACCCTTCCCTCCCTCCTAAGTGTTTCACTCTGGCATTGTAGGAAGTGGAGCCCATGGCCATGGAGTGTGACCACGTCCAGATCACAGCCCTGTCGCAGGCACTGAACATTGCTCTGCAGGTGGAGTATGTGGACGAGATGGACACCGCTCTGAACCACCACGTGTTCCCTGAGGCTGCCACCCCTTCTGTTTATCTGCTCTATAAAACATCCCACTACAACATCCTTTACGCAGCTGAAAAACACTAATTTTAGGCCATTCTGGAGCCTGTAATCTAATGGACTGCATTCTGAATGGGACATTCGGCCTTGGCGATTTTTTAATTGATTTAGACAACTAGAAACATACAGCCTTTTGGGTAAAGCCACTGAACTGAGACCTGTGCCCACTATGGACTGTCATGACTTAATAGGAATTTTAGTATTTATTTTGATAGATGATGTAATGCCTGCTAACTCTGGACCAGAAAGCCAGGAACTCTATCTATGTATCCATCTACTGTAAGAACCTCGTTGGACCTATTTATTTATCCGGAAGAGGTTCCTGGCAGTGTTGACATGCCGCTGTGTGAAAATGAGGAAATCTGGTGTGTCCTCACCAGGGACAGTGGCCTTCATACGGGAAAAAAAGCTCAGGTCAGCTGTCACACTCAGGTGACTCACCAGACCCATGAAGAGTCCAGCCCTGCTATGTATGTTGGGTGTATAATGGTAGACAATGTCTGATGAATGTGAGGGGCTTGTGTGGAGTTTCATTCATGATGGCTGTGCTTTCCCATCCATTTAGGGGGGGAGGGAGAGGGGTGGAGAGAGAGACCATGAGAGAGAGAACGTGAGAGAGACTTTTATACCAAAGTCCAGAAAAGGGTTTTAGCCTTCGGCATGAAGCTCAGGTTGTGAGGTCCTTCTGCCTCAGGGCCACGACTCCTGACTTTGGAGGACAGGCCCTTCGGAGTTCCGCTGTCAGCCCCACCTGGATAAGGCTTGACAAAGCCGAGGGCCTGTACCTGAGTCAGTGTGTTCTTGTCTGGGACCGGGGAGCTGCATCAGCTCCTCATCCCCAGTGAATTCTAGAAGTGGGGTCTAGGTAGTCAGCTGGGTAGGGGTGTGTGCAGCATGGAAACAGGGAGGGCAGAGCACAGAGTCTGCAAGGTTCTTCAGTTTTCCCCAGCCCAGCTTGGTAGGCAGCTAGGCATAAAAGAACAGACAAGCCATACAAGTTGGCAGCAGGAACGAAAGTTCCCAATGCTGGCAGTAGCCTATTCGTCGGCACGTGCCCCTTAACAGCCTCCTCACTCACCTTGCTGCCTCAAGAGCTTCAGGAGTCCACCCGAGGACACTGGGAAAATCAGCCTCCAGCTGGGCTGAGGCACTAGCTAGCCTTGCCTTGCTCTGTAGGATAGCCATAGAACTACCATTGGTACCCTTCCTTGGGGGCAAGGCTCCCCTCATGTTTCATTCTGCAGGGCTTAAGACTTGTGGTGCTACTGTGAGGGTCTGCTGACAGTCTGCACACAGAACCAGAAGGATCTGAGTCTTAAACAAATCTCAGATCTGTATCTTTTCTTTTGCTTGGTATAAGCCAAAAGCACCCAGATGTCTGGGCAGTGTGGGAACCAAGGCCAACATTTAGATCCAAGGGCCCCAGCTAAGTGAGTCTGTCACTGACACAGGAGTATAAATGTAGCCTTCATCTTTGGATTTGTTAAGTGTCCCACCCTGATCTGGCTAAGAGTGTTGTGGTCTATGACAAGTACCCCGGAAGAGCAGGCACTGATTTCCGTGACTATCTTCAGCCAGACTATTCTTCACTTGTAGGCTGAATGGGCTGCTCCGAGGAGGTTAGAAGGGTCTGGGGACAGGACAATGGGGACTTGGGTTCCCTGGTTAGGCTACAGCAACAAGTCATGCTACCACGCCCACTTTCTGAATGACTCCTGCACCCTACAACCCCTCTTTCTAGACAAAGCACTGCAAGTACAGGGGCTTAAGAGGTCACCCTTGTGAATGCTTGTGCATGCCTCACTTGCCCAGAGGGGACAACTAGTAGGGATAGAAACAGAGCAGTGTACCTGCTCTGATGTCCTCCTGAAACAGACGCAACTCTGCTGGGGCCAGCTGCCCAATTTCAGTTCTCAACTGAATGAGCTTGGCCAAGCCACTTCACTTCAGACTTTGGAATCAGAGAAGCCTGCCTCAGAAGTGAATGGTCTAAGTATGAACCACAGGGAACAATGCGACAGGTCTAAGAGCCAAGTATACAGCCAGCCTGGGACAACGGGGCTTGGGGTTCAGTGAGTGCCCAAGCCAAGCCCTACATCTTCCTTTAGATGAAAACATCTTCGTAGCATTAAAAGTTTCTATAACAACTTTCAGCCTGGCCTGTTAATGTTGGTTAGTGGTTACGTAATGACACCTTCTCACAGGCCACTCATGAGTGGACTGTGCTGGGAAGGAGGCAGGAAGCTGTGTTGACTAAAGCCTCGGCACACCAGTGGACAGATGGGCTTTGCACACTGGCCCCATCCTATCAAGGGTGTGCAGAGCTCGGAGTCTGCTTACCAACTCCACTGACATCTCACAGCATCATTGGAGAGTGGAGGCCACTGGGCGATCTTTGTTTGCTTTGTCCTTTTAGCCAGGTCAGAAGTAGACAGTGCGGTCACGGGAAGGGACCGACCTGGAGGTGCTGGGTCAGAATAGTAGAACTCACTCAGATGGAAAGTGCCCCAAGTTACCAACTCTCATCTGGCTATTTACCACTAAATGTCTACTTTCTCAACTACAAAAAAAGGGTGGGATGTTAAGATACACCATGACTTCAAAGATAGTCAAATGAGAATTCAAAGCAATAAAAGTTCCTAATAGTCATGACCAGTACAGATCTATAATCCTTGCTGATGAGGATGCTGAGGCAAGAGGGAGTCCCAGTTCTAAGCCTGCCTAAACAGTGAAACTATTCAAACTAAGTAGTCAGCAGAAGGCTCAATGGGCGTAAGCACTTACTATCACCTAACAACCTGAGCTAGATCCCCAGAACCCACATAAAGGTGGAAGGAGAGAACCAATTGTCTCCATGAGTGAGTAGCACCCCCCCAATCACATACTATGTATGTATGTTTAGGGATACAGATAACTCAGTGTTAGAGTGCTTGCCTAGCACACGGCCTCAATCTCTAGTACTTCAGGGGTTAAAAAGTATCTTAATGTCAGGTATTCAGTCAACAGCGACACCAGAATCCAGTTTAGGCTCAAAGTAAAAAGGGAGTCCCATGGTCACCTTTCAACCTTGCTAAGAGTTGAGAGAGACTGTGTTTCTTAGATAGCAGGATATTTAGGCATATCTATGTACTAAAATCCACAGGACCCCAAACATCCGAACCATGCCCATGAACTGTCTCAAAGTCCAGGCTGAGCTATGCTTCCCCAAGGTCTGACAGTGGTGGTTACTCAGCCAGGAAGACCATGAGCTGGGCAGCAGGGTCACAGCTCCTACAGTGTACTTACACTAGGACTGGAGGCCAGCACCCGTGGAGCTCGGCCAGCACCACGAGGCAGGTAGCAAGAGCACTGAGCTGCTCATAGCACGCACAGCCCTCCAGGAATGACACAGGACAGTTCAGGCTGACAAGTCTGTTTTATAAAAAGGCTAGGATAAAAGACAATGCATGGACTCATGACCAGGAGCCTGGGACAGATCCCGTGGTCTCTATTTCTATCCTACAGACTTGTGACTGATACACCCTTGGGACCTGAGGGTGGTCCAAGGACAGCAAGCCCTTCCCTATACACTTTCCAGGGTGGCTTAGATAAGAAAGCAGACAATATTGTGACACAGAAAGGAGTTGGTATTATACTGCTGTGGACATATACTAAAGAAGAAAAGGGACATATACTAAGGAAGGAAAGGGACATATACTAAAGACCCTACAGTATTGTGACATAGTGCCTCATGGCCAGAACGCTATGGTACCATTTCCCATATGAAGGAAACAGTACTGTGTTGGCCCACGGGAATCTCAAAGCTAATGGTGAAACACTGCAACACCCTCATGACGACTCTGTTCCCATTTGTTTTTAATGTGGAAACCACGGTGTACATAAGAAGCCTGCGGACACTGGATACAGACACACAGCTGCTGGCTACTACACTTATTCCACAACACACGTGTGCATGAGCTCTTTCCTGCTAAAGGATGCAAGAGCGGGGCATTTTCCCAAGTGGACAGTGGAGCGAAACACAAGGACAGGCAGGCTTTCACAGACACCGGGAGAACAGACCTCACTGGGCAGTCACCACACTGACAGGGCAGTTAACTCGTGCTTGGACTTGACTGTGGTGGCGCCTGGTGTTCTTTTGGCTTCTTCCTCCTCCTCCTCTTCTGTCTGGAGAGGCAGCTCAGTGCAGACTCACCATTCCTGGGGGCCACCATGGGCTGAGGCAGCCTGCCAGACTGTGTGGGGTACCTGGTCTTCAGGCTCTCCTGGAAGAGTGGCTGGGAGAGCAGATGGCGTAGCTCCTGCTTCAGGATCTTCATCTGCTTCTGTCGTCGACGCTCTTCCTGCTGGTCAGCTTTTCCTCCTTGAGACACACAAACAGAAGATCCCAATTACCCAGAAAAAAACCACTTTCCTTAGACTAGTATAAGCTCTGGTACTTGTCAGCTCAGAACCATAAATGGCTAACTTCTGTTTAGGAGGGATAGGGTGGACCACTGTCCTTCACCATTCAGGGAGCAGTAAAGACAAGAGAATCCTCAATTTACAGATAAGGCGACGCGGGCTTAGAGGAGTCACATAACGGTGACTGTCAGAGATCGGCACTCACATCTGACTGAGGTCGGCTGTTTCACCACTGTGGCTGCACACTGCTACCTGGAATGTGGTGGCCACAAATTCCTCAGGAGACAGTGAACACTTCTCTACAGCCCGATTCTCCAGGACCTCCCCCAAGCAATGCTGTAACACAGAGGTGGACACAGCCCAGGTCCCCACCCAAGCCTGACCTCAGGAGGAAAGCCAGGGACTCACCATCCGAGCCCTAGACCAGAGCTATGAGGAGTGCTCTGTTGGCAAACTACTGGCTCCCAGCAGACAACAGTCTGTCTAAACTTGACGGCTGGGTACTGAGAAGTCAAAACCTCAGCTGAGCTGAGCTGCTGGGGGGAGCACCAGCCGTAACTGCTGTCATAACCCAGATGCAGTTCTCAGCTTTCCTATGCAAGGCCATGCAGCCTGATCCATTCCTTGGCCTCTGATCCACAGACAGAAGAAGGCTTAGGCAACACCTGGTGGTAGAGCTGTCCTAATATACAAATTCCTTCTTTCTGTGAGCCTTTATCCCTGCATGTAAAAGAACAATAGTTCCCACATGACTCATGCCAAGAAACTGGGCAAGTTAAGGGAGACATGGAGGTCTTTGCTGCCTTGGAAGGCAGGAGTGGCACTAGCTACAACAACAAATAACAATGGTGTATCATAGACCTCCTGTTTTTCAGGCACAACTGTACCCAGATTAGTCTCCTTTACTCAATCTTAAACTAGGAGGTAGGAAGTTATTGCCTGTCTTATAGATGAAGAAAGAGGAAAGCAGACAGGCTATCACAGTAAGAGAACAGGCTGCACTAACAAGAACATCCTGCTTGTGTCTGCTCCTGGTCGTGGATTCCATGGACTGTCCATAGAAGAGACTCACACACAGGAAAGGCCCAGGGAGTCTGGCCCACATGGATAAGCAGGCATGCTCAAGATGACAGGAAAAGGGCACCTTGCTGCCTCTAATGGGCCACAGAAGTGAGGATGGTTTCAAGTAAAAGCTAAAGGGGAAAAAAAAAACGCGTGCTGGATGCAGCCTCCTGTTCCCACCCAGGACACACCTTTGTACATGTCTTCTTCCAGCTCAATCTCCAGGGCCGCCGCCGCCTGCTCAATCCATGAGTTGTGCAGACAAGCCTGGAAGTTCCGGTACTCAGCCTTTTCAACCTGCCGTGCTAGACGGATCCGCTCCTGAGGGGAGAGGAGCACAAAATACTTATCTGATAGAGCAATCATAACATAGCTTCACTAAAGCTGTTCTTAAATGCTCTGTGATCAGTGATCAGTGAGCCACAACTCAGATGCCACTGAAACCCTTGCCCAGGCTCCTGCTATCAGCCTAGGTGATTATACACACAACCACAAAAGCCTGCTTGTACCTCCTTAGAGGACTGTCCCAGGCTGCCAACTTATAGGTGGCCAGAGTGACTCCCCAGGAGTCACATCTGGTTTCCTCAATTCTTCTTGTGGGTTCTGAGGTCAGACTGCAGTGATATAATGATCCCTTTGCCCTTACATGGGAAAGATCATGTGCAGTGGGAATAAGAAACCATGAAAATAGCTGGGCGGTGGTGGCGCATACCTTTAATCCCAGCACTCAGGAGGCAGAGGCAGGAGGATCTCTGTGAGTTCGAGGCCAGCCTGGTCTACAGAGCGAGTTCCAGGACAGGCTCCAAAGCAATACAGAGAAACCCTGTCTCGAAAACCAAACAAACAAAAGAAACTACGATAATGAGGTGGCTCCCAGTCTCCTTAATAGGAGTTCTCTATGTTGCCACCTTCCACCAGCCCCATCATAAACCCTCACGTGGCTAACACTCCTTTCGTGTCAGAGTGGCCACAGGCCCTTGAACTGCCCCTTGTCTCCACTCCCTCCAGGCCTCCAACTCTGTCCCCTCCTCACTCTTCCTCACCTCTGCAGTGAGAGGAGAGCTCTTCTCCCCACATCATAACCACAGGCCTATTAGCCTCAGTGCTCCACGTAAACCATCCTGTGCCAGCGCCTACGCACACACTGGTGAGCCTCTGGGGAAAACTACCCCATCAGTCTCTGATACACTGTGGCCCAGGATACACATTCACAGTGAATGCTCCTGAGTTAATATAAATACAGAAAGCAAGCCTTACTGTCACTGCTTCAGGGATCTACCAAGCCTTCAGCATCTACCTCTTTCACAGCTCTCTGACAGACGTCTGTCTGTATGGCTATGCTCACTGCACTACCGTCCAGCTGTGGTGGAAGCAGCTGGAGACTTCAGGACCAGATATCAGAGTGGATGAGGGAGATCATTTCTTCGGTCATTACCCTTTCTGCTTTTCTCTCAGGTCTGGCACTTCCAGGCTTTTAAGAAAAGCTACCATCCAGCCATCAGCAGAACCACTTGTCAGTTCTCTAGGGAAAGGCTTCTGGTCTCACAGTAAGGGTCTCTTTGAGGGGGCAGTGTACTGGTGTGCTCTGTGAGGGGTGAGCTTTTTTACCTTGACCACATCCATGTACTTGGCCTGCACTGGGAACAGTGGGATGTCCTCATCTTTCTTGAGAGTTTTGTAAATCTTCTTG